AAAAAAAAAAAAGGAAAAAAAATGAAATAGAGAAGTCCCTAATCTTGTATGGTTTAGTTCGACCACTGATTTGTCCGTGTGTGTTCGTTACTGAAATATGTTTCTTTAGTAAAAAATGTTGAAAAATTTCTCATGCCTTTTATTAATGCCCGTTATTAACCATTATTATTTCTTGTTTTCTTTCTTTCTTTTTTGTTTTATAGATTAACAAGTTTTCCTCTCCCTTTTTTTCCCATTTAATTCATTATTATTATTCTTAGTATAAAATTTCCGAAGTAATATTAAAAGGATAACAAAGGATCATTGTTTATTTTTTTTATTGTGCCAATTACGAGTAGAATAAAAAGTAAGAAAAGAAAAATATTGCAAGATAAAAATGAAGAATCGCTGAGTTCGATTTTACGAATCGTATTGCAAACGATCGAACGAAATAAAATTTGTTCGTTTTTTTTTTTTTTTTTTTTAAATTGACAAAAAAATTGATATTTTGTCTTTTTTTTTAATTAAAAATGAATTTCGTTAGAGAAGTCAAGATAAATAATATATTTAGGTAAATATAATAATACTAGAGAGTAGTGTAAAGGAAGATAAATCAGAGGAAGAAGAAGCTTGGGGGAAGAGCATGGAAAGTAGGGGTGCTGGTGGTGGGGTTGGAGGGTGGGAGGGGTTTTAGTCTCGAAGCATTGGTTTGTAAGTAGAATGCTGAGCGTCACAGCTCAGTTCGTTTGCGACGTTCGTGTCGTACACGTCATGTAAACTCTTTTAATATTATTATTATTATCCGTGTTTGATGGTTGTGTTGTTGTTATTATTGTTTTGATGGTGTATGGTGTGTAGTTGTTTTTCTAAGTTTACAGTTCGACCAAGGGAGGATCAGAGTTTGTCATATTACTTTGAAATAATTTCGTTAATTTTGTGTCATCCTTTCACGTGAATATAAACGAAACTCGACTAATAAAGTGGATATTAATAATGATCAAATAAAAATAACAATTATTCGTTTAATTTACGAGTGATCGATATTTAAAAAAAATAATGAAAATTATATAATCGAAGAATAATAATTTTACTAATTTACGGTTTAATAACAATATATGAATTCTTTTTCTTTTGTTTTGTTTTCTTTTTTAAATGTAATTAAAAAATATCTAAAAATATGAGCGATTATAATGATGATGATAATAATAATAATAATAATTTGTTAAGATTAAGACTATTGATATTTATCGATTTGAATTTAATGATTTAAATTTGAAACGAACGGTTTAACATTTTCCTGACCTAATAACGCGATCCACATTTTAATTTGAATTTATATTTAAATATATAAATAAATAAATAAATAAATAAATCAATCAATCAATCAATCAATCAAATAAAATCAAATATCTAGTGCGTGTAAGATCATAAAGACGATCTAATAGTTTCGATAGATCGATTCTCGCGGATAAACCGTGGGAAATGTTCAAAGGTGAGAAGAAAGATAAAAGAAGTAAGAACGAAGTGGATCGAGGATCAACGTGGATCTATGTGGATAGGAAAAAATCTGGGAAGAAGACTAGGATAGGATTAGAATAATAGAAAACGAAACGAGAAACGTATAGAAATAACAAAACAAAGCAAAAAAAAAATAGAAAAGAAAAATCGTGGAAAATAAGGAAGACATAAAGATATCGAGGAAACATAGGATTTGATTTGTGCTTTTTTTTTTTCTTTTTTTTTGTCGTTTTTTCTTTTTTGGTTGTACCTGTTTCGTTCGGTTCGGTTTTTTTTTTTTCTTTCTTTTTTTTTGTTTTACATTATGGCGTCGAGATCATCGACCTTTTCCTGGATGCTACGATTTCTTTTGCTGTCGTCCTTCATCTTATGGGATCCAACGATAGCCCGTGGTTCTAAACGTGGACTTAAAAATGGTAAGATTTTTATAAAGATAATTATTTTTAAAGAGGTAGGGGGAAGGTGAAGGGGATCACGAGAAAAAAATTTTTTTATTATAATAATATGGATACTTATATTTAATATTATCATCTTTCGGTGTAAATGCATTTTATTTATTTTTACGTTTGTTTTTATTATTGTAAGTGTATTTTATGGTATTTAAGTTTAGGTTAAATTTAAGTTTCATCGAAGTATATACTAATTTGACAAATAATATAACATATTAATTCTTGGATTTATTTATCTTATTAAGATTCTCATTTGTTTTAAAAATCTTTTTTTTTTTATTAATTTACTATAAATTAAAAAGCATGAAGAATACAAACCCCATGAAAATATAATGATACACCGATATTATATCATAGAAAAAAAAAGAAAATACAATTATAATAAAAATACCGTAACGAAAAATGTATCATCCGTAATAATATTAAAGAGAAATAAAAAAAAAAAAAAAAAAACAATTATTTAAAAATAATGACACAAAATTAATTCGAACCACCGGTAAATTTTGTATTTCTACCACTTTATATATGAAATATGTGTAACGCGTGTGGTCCAGAAACAAATCTTAACACACATGCTTACGCACACACGCACGATAAAAAAAAAAAAAAAAAAACAAAAGGAAAAATAGATGGGTAAAATTTTTCACGTATTCGTAAGACCCCGAGAAGGTCGACCTCGTAAAAGATTCCCACTTTTCTTTCTTATTATTTCTCTCTTTATCTCTCTCTCTCTCTCTCTCTCTCTTTTTATTCTCTTTTTCATTTTCTTTCTCTCTTTCTCTTTCTGTCCAAGAATATTAAGTGTCAGGAGGAACATTCCGCACCTCCCGGGTTCTTAAAGCTTTATATTTAGCAACGAATGTTCCCTTTACTATTTTATTTTGATTCTATTTGTCTCCTTCTCTGTCTCATGGGATTAATATTATATATATTTATATATATATATATATACACTTACAACACAGGGTGCAATATACGCGTTAGACCAATGTGCAAGGAAAACCCTACGGTGTAAACGTCGCCCTTTTACGCTATGCCCAATAGGAGGACACGATCAAAGACATTCTCTCTGACCATCGATTCTCTCTCTCTCTCTCTCACATACTAATTCACATAAATCTATCCTTTTCTATCTTAAACATATTTCACACACGATAGAAAAGGGTGAACGCTAAACGTGTTTAACGATTTTTTATGCCTTTAAGGGTCAATGATTTTAACCATTTTACCTTTTAACTATTACTAATTTAAGATTTGAATTGTTTCATTCGTCGTGTGTATTTAAATTTGGGCAAATATTGTTTTTCTATACGCGAATATTGAATACTGGTGTCAATAAATGTATTCGGTTATTTTTTCTTTTTTTCTTTTGAATAAATATATATATATATATATATATATATACGGTCAATATCGCAGGAATTTATCGAACAATTTATATATATCGTTTTATTTATTATAATAATTCATATACATATAGATTTATTTGTTTATTAATAGAAGAAAATTTAATCAATTCTTTAAGAGAATTATAAGTAATTTTTACTGACGTGATACATTAACATGAACATGATACATTCAAATGGTAAGTGTGATGTATGTATGTATTGAAAAGTATTTTCTGCATTCTGTCCTATTTTTTTATCATATAAAAATGTAACATCTTTATCTCACATATATTCATACACATAAACGCATACTAAGAACGAATTTATTTGCAGAGATTTACATTATTTTATTTATTATAAATATTTATGAATATATTTAAGTTCGTTATGAAATATGTCTGATATTTTCTCATATAAATGTATGTCTTCATCTCATACCTAAATAAGTACACACACACATACACACATACACACAGAGTAAAGAAAAAAGTTAATAGATCCTACGATTATGGTTCCCCATAATTTAAGGGTCAATAATTTTCTTTTATAGCTGCTCGGTTCGATTAGAAAACTTAATTCAAGAAAAACCATTTGATATTTGTATGTTAATGGGGAATTTACGAATACACAAATCAAAATAATTCTAGATATTATATAATCCAGATAATTTTTCCAAATTGGATTCTCGAGATATAATAACGAAAACCATTAAACGCTAAACATCGTATTTCTATTTTTCTTTGTCATCAATACACCTTCTTACATTAATGTTACCACGATCCTATCATTTTTCTCATACCTCAGAAACTTGATCGTGATTATTTCAATATTTTATTACTACAAAATAATGTTACGTTTACATACTTCGTTCTACATTTCGTAATAGTGTCCGTTTAAATGTAAATAAAATATTTTGTTTATAGTGTTTATTACGTGAGTTCTATTTTCATACGGTCAACTTTCTAATTACATTACTAACCAATTTGTTATACATTTTTCTTTCTTTTTTATTTTTTTGTTTTTTAAGTATTTTGTTTTCATTTTCGATTTATCTGCTAAGAAAGATTCGCGTTCGGTACGTTTAACGCGATTACGTTAATTCTTCACGTTTAAGTGTAACTATTAAAAGTTAGCCTTTCCCTGTAAGTAATTAAATTAATTATTTATCTTTATCTTTCTCTCTGACTCAGTGAACTACCATTCACCAACGACCGTTTAGATAGAAAACAAGTATATAGATCTAACCGTTTGCGCAAAACTTACTTACTTACTTACTTACTTACTCACTTACTTATTTGCTTGCTTGCTTGCTTGCTTGCTTGCTTGAATTTTATTTCGATATATTATACAACGAGTTTCGTTCATCCATTCTTAATGGGATTTTATCTGTTTCTTTTTTTTTTTTTAATGTCAAATAAGATACTTCATTCTTCGCGATTAAAAGAAAAAAAAAAAGATACTTTTCTCCGTAATCTTTTCGTTTATTGTTTTTGATTTTTGATGAAATAAAAGTAACCGTTTGCATTATATTATTTCATGCTTTCCGATAAGATTTAAGAAATTTTCTTTGAAATATTTTGCGTGTAAGATTAATGATCGTTACGTAGGTGTGAAACGTGTGAAATTTTTTATTAAAATCGAAGAAACTCATTGTTCTGTAAATTTTGTTAAATTTATTATTTAAATTTATTCCTCCTTCCCCCTCCCAAAAAAAAAAGAATTAAGATTATACCAAAGTGTACGGGTGTTAAGATAAAAGAATTTTTATCCGGAAATATTTTTTAATATGTAAAAAAGTATTTATTAATATTAAAAATCAAATTAACGATAAGATTGATATTAAAATTAAGTTATACGTGTATTTCATACGGAAAATTAAGTATTGATAATTAATTAGAAATTTATTTCAAATAATAGATTTCGTTTATACAATATATATATTTTCAATCCGTTGTTTGTATTATAAATTATGTTTGCTTTGTTTTTTTAATAATGTTATTTTTGTAAAATGATTTTCTTTCTTTTAATGTTTTTTTTAATGTTTGATTAGAGATAGGGGTCTAGGTTAACTTCCGATACGAATTATTCTACATATAGTTCCGGAATAACTTGGTAAACAAGATACGAGAGAATGAAATGGGATTAAGGCCATTAAATGTGCCAATCGTCTTGGTTATTTATTTTTGCTTCCTTTTGTTTCTTCTCAGTAGCTTTTATTGCGATGCGTTGTCTGTGTATGTCTCTTGAATTATCTCTTGGAACCTTAACGTTATCTTTTCGTTTATTCAAATATTACTTTTATTTCTTATTTTTGCATTTTTTTTTTTTTTTTCTTAATAAAGTAAATCGCGTTACACCATAATTCTATTCGATTGCAATGATGATAATTGAGAAAATATTATAACATTTTTATTCGTATTAATATTTGAATATTTGTTATCACAAAAATTATTTCTAATCATTTAATGTATTAAATAATATTTTAATTTGTGTATAGCAGACACATTAGAAACATTGCAGTTTATTTATTATATTTTACAAACATTTGAATTTATTTATCTTTTATTGCAAACGTTTATTCATTTAATTTATTAAAAATATTTCAATATATAAGAACAAAATAGAAATAATTAACAAACAATTGTATATCCATACGCGTTAAATTCGTCGAATTATTTTTTTTTTTTTCCAAATAAGAAAAATAAAACACACAATAGAGTATTAAAAATATATTGCAAATAAAGTAAATTAAATAAACGAACATATATAAAAATATTTATAATCACGTTTATATTACATTCTCATTTTCCTTGAATTAAATTTCGCCACGAATAGTGACAAAATCCTCGATTATACAAAATTAATTATTTATCAAGATGAGTCTACAAGAAGTATAGTAAATAAAGGGATTAAGTTCAGACGAATAGGATGGTATCATTTAAAATAGCAGACAGACGGTAGACGCACACGGTCTTCTTCCTCGCATTAATTCTAAGTCAAGCTGCTAATCGTTCGTTCTACGAGACTCAGACTCAGACTCAGATTCAGAGTTAGAGTTAGAAGAAGATAGAAGAAGATGAATAAGAAGAAGAAGAAGAAGAAGAAGGCGAGAAAATGTTGAAGGATGAACAAGCGTCACGCGTGTCTGCCACGCGACGAAAATAATCGTTCGTTCCTCTTCCATTCGGGGATTTAACACGCGTGTTTACGTTTATCAGAATGTATAAAGAGAGAGAGAGAGAGAGAGAGAGAGGGAGAGATGGTTCTGTCCTTTCATGGCGTCCAGAAACCGGATGATTTATGATATTCGCTATCCCGTCGTGTGCATTTCGTGGCCCATGTGATTCGTCTTTATGGGCGCCCACCATCATCGTGACGTCTTCATTTTTCTCCATACATGATCCCATACACCATTGTTTTTTTTTCTTTATATAATATATATATAATGGATGTACTTCAATGTTGTGTTATGTCTAATAAAATATTTGCATTTTGTTTTTTGTATTATTACTACTACTATTACTATTAGTATGATTGACAGATGAGATACATTAAAACTTCGATATAATTGAATTATTA